CCCTCTTCCTCTCTTCTTCCCTCCCTTTCAGCCTCTCTCCCCCTCCCCCTCTCCTTCTCAATCCCTCTCTCTCCCTCCTTCCCTCTGTTTCCCTCTCTTAATCCCTCCCTCTTCCTCTCTCTGAGTGAACACCCTGCCCCTATGACCACTAAATTTTTTTTTTTTCTTTTTCCCGGTGTTGGGATTCAAAATCGGGCCCTGCTACCCATGTGGCAGGCACTCTGCTGCTGTGCCCCCCACCCCACCCCCACCAGTTTCACCTTTCATGCTGGCTCCTTAAATTCCCTGGGACTTCAACCTGTGACTCTCTTGCCTCGGTTTCCCTTATCCCTTCCCCCACCCCAGTGCCACTAGACCAGGCTCAAGTTTTCAGATTTTTTTTTTCCTCCTGCCACTGGAACAGAGTCAGTTCTGATCTTGGCTCTTCTCCCCCCCCCCCCCCCCCCCCCCCCCCCCCGGAAACACACCTTGCTGTTCCTATAGGTCTGTTGTGAGGCCTCTTTGGTTCAGTTAGGAAAAACAAAAAAAGCAACAGCCTCCTCCCCGTGAGTGAGTCCCTGGCCTGAGGCCTGTCCCTGCTCAGCTCCAAGCTGCCTTCGTGGAGCAGGTTATTTTATCTATCTATCTATCTATCTATCTATCTATCTATCTATCCATCTATCTATCTACCTATCATCTATCATCTATGATCTACCTATCATCTATCACCAATCATCCACCCACCCATCTGTCTGTCTGTCTGTCTCTTTATCTATCTGATGGAGGTGGGTATGGAATTCAAGGCCTTGCACACGAAGCGAGCCACCCCCTGGCCTCTCACGGCTGTTGTGTCCCTGTCAGGGCCCCTCCAGGCCCTGTCTGCTTGATTAAGGTGTGGAAGGCAGTAGTTTTCAGAAACTCTTTTCTTCACATTCCTCAGTATCTCTTCCTCCCCTCTCCACCCCAATCCAGCACCCTGGACACCAGGTAGGAGGGAGGAAGGGCCAGGGGGAGAGGTGGGCAAGATTCTCTCTGCCACTTCCTGCTGGGCAGGGCTGTGGGGTACCACACCTGGGACCAGAATGCAAACTTTTATATCCACAACAAAGGTAGCTTGCAGTTTCTTTTTCTTTCTTTCCTTTCCTTCCTCTCTTTTCTTTCCTTCCTTTCTCTTATTCTTTCTTTCCTTCCTTTCTCTTTTCTTTCCTTCTCCCTCTCTTTTCTTTCTCTCTTTCTCATTTGTTTGCTTTTAGCGAATCCCCGAGAACTGCCTCTTTTGGCTGTGGAGGAAACCCGGGCTCCATGTGGTGGCCACCTTGGTGTCACCAGCCCTCCAGCTGTCCTCAGATCTTAGCTGGGAAGCTCTGGTCGATCAGGAGCTCTTCCTAGAGATGAGGCCAGCAGACCCTGTCTCACCCTGCCCCAGCCTGGCAGCCTTCTGGGCACACCAGAGTGGAGGGACTGGCCAGGGTGGCAGGAGACACGGCAACTCCACCTTCTGGGAACTTCAGACTGGGCTACGTTGAGACCCTGCTCCAGGGAGACAAATGCGTGAGACTTGCCTATTAGAGCTGAATGCTCTCCTGTCCACCTAGCACTTGGGGAGGCAGAGGCAGAGGGATGGTGGCTGTGAGTTTGAGGCCAGCCTGGGCTACAGAGCGAGTCTGGGACAGCCAGGGCTATACAGGGAGACCCTGGGGCAAGGGGAAGAGGATGAATTAAAGTCAGGTGGGAGCAAGCAGATTGCTGTGAGTTCGGGGGGCCAGCCTGGTCTACACAGAGAGACTCTGTCTCAGAAACACCAAAACCACAAACCAAACCAAAAAAACAATACAGAACAAAACAAAAAACATTATGTGGCTTGTTCTACAGTGGAATGAAGAGACAGCCACACACAAGGCTCTCCACCTCCCCCAGATTCACTTATTTTTTTCCTGCTGGGAGACCAGCTGTTGATCCTGCGACGTAGGCCAGCCTAGCCTCAAGGTTACAGCAATCCTTCCTCGGTGACCCTACTGCTATTTGAGATTTGCGCCTAGAGCGGGCCCTCAGTCCTGCTGTCATCTGGGATGCTGGACGTACTCCACCCCCCCCCCCCCCCCCCCCCGCTAAGCCAAGATGGCAGTTTCTCCTTTTCCCTGGTCCTGGATGAGCACAGGGGCAGAGAGTGGGTAGGCTGTGGCCCCCCAGAGACTATGTTGGCTAAATGCTTTGCTGCAGAGGACAGTGCGGTTTAAGAAGCTGAGGTGAGCCTGAGCCTAAAAACCAATCTACCTGCGATGGGTTTGTTTCTCTAGAACAGAAAGGACAGAAGGAAAAGAAAACTCACATTTATACATTTCACACTTGGGATCTTTAATTTTTTTTTTGAGCAGACAACTGTAGGCTCCCTGGCTTTTTCAGTTAGTGTGACAACCTTCCATAATCAACTTAGGGCAACAGCCTTCCATAATGAACTCCATAGAGAGACAGTGGTCAAAGAAAGTGGAATGAGAGAGAGCACATTCACAGAACGGAAACCCACACTCCCCCCACCCCCAACATCCATGAGAACACACGAACACACGTGAGTTCCTTGATCAGTGCGACAGTGTTTCCGTGGTCCTCGGGCAGGGTGGAGGCTCCTCACATGATGCGCAGGCCCTGGATGGAGGACTCCAGGGTCTGGAAAAGGCAGAGAGCTGTCAGCCCTGGGGACCTTGGTTGCCTGCCACACTGCTGTACTCCCCGGCCTCAGCACCTGGAGTCTCCTGCCCCAAGAGCTCACATCACCTCCCGCTGCACAGCCTCCCTCCTTCCTCCCTACCTTTTTTCCTCCCTCCCTCCTTCCTACCTTCCCTCCCTCCCTCTTCTCCCCCTCACTGCCTGGCTCTGGCTCGCCTGGAACTCCAGATAGACCAGGCTGCCTCCAACTCACAGAGACCAACCCTCCTCTGACTCCTGGAATTAAAGACATGTGTCCCTAGGTCTGGACCTTAATTTCAACATTTATGTATGTCATTTTGTTCTTGTTTTGAGACAGGGTCTCTCCGTGTGGCCCTGGCTGTCCTGGACTCGCTCTGTAGCCCAGGCTGGCTTCAAACTCAAAGAGATCCTCCTGCCTCCACCTCCCCAAGTACAGGGGACACAGGCGTGTGCCACCATGCCCGGCTTATTTATATGTATGTGTATGATGTTTGCTTGTATGTACATAGGTATGTATGTATGTACCACATGTGTGCCTGGTATGTGCAGAGGGTGGAAGAGCATCAGATTCCGTGGACCTGGAGTGACAGTTGGTTGTGAGCTGCCATGTGGGTGCTGGGAACTGAATCCTGAGTCATAGGCAAGTGCTCTTAACTGCTGAGCCATCACTCCAGGCCTTGGTGAATGTGCGTCCATGCGTGTGTTCCTGTGTATGTGTGTGTGTGTTCTATCTTCTCAGCTCATTGCATTATTTCTTTTTGGGGGGAGGGGGAGAAGGTCCTATCATCTAGCTCAGGCTGGCAGCAAGCTCAGAGAAATCCCTCTGCCTCAGCCTCCCAAGCCCGGGCATTCCAGGACTGAGTCCAAGGGCAACTATGTACACTGTGAAGCTGTTGTCTGTGCACAGCTACGTGGGCTACTGGCTTCAACACGGCACCGAGCTTTCCTGAGGAGGAGGTCAGCTTGGAGCCACCACCGACCCACCAGCTGGGAGCTGTGCTCCTCTCGACTTAGGGACTCCGGGGCCAGCTCTTCTGACAGGTGCTGTGGCAGGGCAGCTCAGTGGAGAGTGTGCGCATGGCCCAGGCTGCACCCTGGTGATGGTCGACCATCACCAGGGAGACATACCTTGAAATCCCAGATCATCATGGCCCCGTCAATGCCGGTGGTGCAGAATTTGCGACAGTCCTGCTTGTCTACCTCATAAATGGACACCTGGCTGAAAGAAGAGCAGGACTGTGAGGTCTGTGGAGGGAGTGAGGCCATTCCCCCAAGCCCCGAATCGACAGATGGCTGGGGGTGCACTAGGCTCCAGATCCCTCAGGGCCACACGATGAGACCCTGTCCCAGAGCAAGAGGTCTCACTTGCCCAGGATGTGGCCCAGCGGGTAGGCCTGAGACTATACCAGGCCCTGACCGGGTCCCCAATGCCACATATACTGGGTGCTGGTGCTTGCATGGAGCCCTAGCCATCTGAAGGTGGAGGCTGGAGGTTACAAGTTCAAGGTCAGGGGCCTGTAGGGAAGGGCTCAGAGGGTGAGAGTGCCGGCTACTCTTTCAGAGGTCCTGAGTTTGAGTCCCAGCACCCACATAGTGGCTCATGACCATCTAATGTCAAAGGAGAGGGAAAAGAAGGGAGGGAGGAAGAGATAGAGAAGGAGAGAAAGGGAGAGAGAGGGAGGGAGGAAGGGAGAGAAAGAGGAAGGTAGAGAAGGAGAAAGGAGAGAAAGGGAGAAAGTGAGGGAGAGAGAGGGAGAGAAAAATAAAGAGGGAGGGAGAAGGGAGAGGGAGAAAAAGGGAGAGAGGCAGAGAGAAGAAGGGAGAGTGGGAGAGAGGGAGCAAGAGAAAGAGAGAGAGAAAGGGAGAGAAGGGAGAGAGAGGGAGAGAAAGGGAAAGAGGGAGGGAGAAGAAGGGAGAGGGAGAGAGAAGGGAGAGTGGGAGAGAGGGAACAAGAGAAAGAGAGGAAGGGAGAGAGAGGAAGGGAGAGAAGAAGGGAGAGAGAGGGAGAGAAAGGGATAGAGGGAAAGGGAGAAAGAGGCAGAGAGGCAGAGAGAGAGGAAGGTAGAGTAGGAGATAGAGGGAGAGAGAGAGAAGGAAAAAGAAGGAGGGGGAAGAGAAAGGGGGAAGGAGGGGAAGGGAGAGGGAAGGGGAAAGGGAGGGAGGAGAGGGGGAATGGAGAAGTATGGGAAAGGGGAAGGAGAAGGAAGCAGGAGAGAGGAGAGCGAGGGAGGGGAAGGGAGAGAGAGGGGAAGGCAGCAGGAGAAGGAGAGGAAGGGAGGGAAAGGGGAGGGAGGAGAGGCCATGCCCTCATCATAGGGGTGGGTAGGGACAAGGCAGGGCTCAGCAGATGCAGGACACAAAGAACTGTTTTCTCCTTCCAAGCTCAGTCGTGACCAGAGCATGGCTGAAGCCAATTGGTCCCCAACAAGGCCTCCTAGAGCAGACTGCTGGGGGCAGCCAGAGCCCAAAGCCCAGAGCCTTCCTGGTGTCTGAAATCGGCCTTGGTGAGTCCCCAGTTCCATCCCAAGTCCACAACCCCCAGATGCCAGCACAGCTGGGCAGATGGGGGGAAACCCCGGGTAAGCCAACCGTCTGGAGAGCTTCCAGGGTCAACCTCCTTCTCTTCAGATGCAGCTGGCCCTCGAACGGTGGAGGCCACAGTGCAACCCATGACAATGGCCTTTACACACTTTCAGGTTGTTATTAGTTCATTATGCTGTGTGTTTGGTATCCAGGTCAGAGGACGACTGTGAGAATCTGTTCTCTCCCTTCTCCGACGGGCTCCGGGCAGCACACGCACCTTGTTCAACTTGGCAAGAGCCTGGACCCATGGGCCTGGGCCACCATGCCCAGCACGGACCTGATTCCCCCTCAGCCAGCCAGGCCTGTGCTGCCGGGAGCCATGCCCCCCCACCCCGAGTGCTGGGTGCCACAAGCACTCTGCAGGGCACAACAAGGAGGCGCTGGCCGCCCCCTTTTGTTGTGGAGAGACAGGGTTTCACTATGTAGACCAGGCTGGCCTGGAGCTTACCATGTAGACCAGCCCGGCGTGGAGCTCACCGTGTAGACCAGCCCGGTCTGGAACTCAGTGTGTACACTAGGCTGGCCTTGAACTCAGATTCACAGCTGCCTCTGCCTCCTGAATGCTCGGGATTAAAGGCTGTGCCACCCCCGGCCACCCCTGCCTATCACAAGCTGATGGGCAGGACCAGGTCACCCCCGTCTGTCACCCCGACCCACGTGATGCTGTTCTGGTGCAGAGTCTCCAGGGCTGTGGAGTTGCGGTCTTCGGTGGTGGCCCTCTTGTCCATGTTGCGGAAGCGCTCCATGGCCGACATGTTGCGCTGGACGCTCTGCTTGGGGACATCCAGCTTGGACACGAAGCTCAGGCTGCCGAGGTCGTCGTAGCTGAAGAGCATCGGGCAGCAGTCGTGGCCCTGTGACGGGGGGGGGGGGGGGGGGAGGGTTTGGCTGGGGCGGGGGGGTGCGCGGGAGAGGCGAGCGCGGGGGAGGGGGCGGGGTCGCCCGGGAGGGGGGGGGCGGGGGGGGGGGGGGTGTCGGTCAACCCTGGGGGGTTGGGGACCATCTCCTTGCCCAACCCGGGGACGGGTGTCTGGGGGAGGGTGTATGGGGCACATCCTGGGACTGGCACAGGCAGGTGGCACCCCTCGAAGGGTCACACTGCAGGGGAGTGGGGGTGGGGGAGGGTGTGTGGGGTGTGCCCTGGGTCCATCACAGGCAACAGCCCGGGAGGGCGCACACTCACCGCAGCCACAATGCTGTTCTCTGAGACGAAGGACACGCTGAGCAGTGGCAGGAACTCCGTCTTCAGAGTCGACACCCTGCACATGGGGAACGCATGTCACACACAGTTCTGGTTTTCCATGAAGTGCACGCCAGGGACCAAACTCGGGCTGTGCCAGTGTCACGCGAGGGTCCTACCCTGCAGCCCAGGCTGGCCTCGAACTCACAATCCACCTGCCTTAGCTCCCTGGATGCTGGGATCACGGGTCTTCACCACTGTGCCTGGCTCTTGTAAGAGTGTATTTACGTGGAGGAACAAAAGCGTGACACCAAGGTACTGTCTCTGACATGAACTCGGTGGCCTACTCTTTGACCTCCCCCTCCCTGAGGGAGGAGCAGCCTTGCCAGGCCACAGAGGAGGAAAATGCAGCCAGTCCTGATGAGACCTGATAGGCTAGATGGAAGGGGAGAAGGACCTCCCTTAGCAGTGGACTTAGAGAGGAGCAGGGAGGAGATGAGGGAGGGAAGGATAATGGGGAGGGAGGAATGATGGGAAGGGAGGGAGGGACGATGGGGAGGGAAGGAGGGGGCTACAGCTGGGCTACAAAGTAAATAAACTATAATTAATATAAAAAATAAAAATTTAATTTAAAAACAAAAACAAAAAACACAAAAAAGCTTAACACCACCAAAGCAGTCCCAGAGCACAGTTCTGCCATGGTGACCCTTTCATAAGAAAACTAGTTAAGCCAGCGTGGGGAGGAACCACGTCTGAGCTGTCCCCACCACTGAGTCCTCATGGGGTGGCCATCCCCCAGGGAACACTCCTGGGCTGCCCATGGGAAGGGTGGGCTTCAGGCTTCTTCCTTTGCCACTGAGCCACCTTTCACCGCAGTCTGGTGATAAACCACAATTCGGGTTCTCCCTGTAGACCCCAGGTGGCATGAGGGCAGGAGGAAGATGGTTCCTCTCCTGTTTGGGGTGGTGTCAGGGGAAAAAGCTGAGGACGTGTGTGTGCCAGGTGGGAGCAGCTTTGGCCCTGGTTTCTGAGACCAGGCTGGCCTTGAACTCCTTAGCCTTCTGCCTCCATCTCCCAGGCCACTACGTGCCATCCCATCTCCCCTAAGGGCTGGTGGGTACCATGGATGGGGGGGAGACAGTCAGGCGTCTATGGTGTTATCGTCCCAGCCATCGTCTTCATCAGGGCAGCGGGGACCGGGCCTGCTGGCTACTGGTACTGCCTGAAGGGTGGGGGGCGGGTTACTGACCCCCACTGGGACCCGGCTGCTCTATCCTGGGCCTCTCGGCCAGCTATATACACTCCCTCTAGCTGCAGTGGAGAGCCAGCATGTCCAGATGGCCAGTTGTATACACTCCTCCTAGCTGCAGTGCTCTAGGCTACTGTGTCCAGAGTGTGGGTGTCCAGCTGTATACACTTCCCCTACCTGCTCTGGTCTAGGAGAGCCAGTGTGTCCAGGTGGCCAGCTGTTTACACTGCCCCGAGCTGTCTACACTCCCCCAGCTATCTACACTTCCCCCAGCTGTCTTCACTTCCCCCAGCTGTCTGCTCTGCCTGGGCCTGGGACCATCATCAGCTGGGCACCACATTCCCAACCCCCCCAGCCAGGCGAGAACTCACTGCATGCTCTTGGAGGCGTCGGCAACTGACACCGTACTGTCGTGGCTGACCCAGGCCAAGCGGCTCCCACTGGCCGAGAAGCTGACACCGTGCACCCAGCCGCCAGCGCCGCTGCCGCCGAACTCCACCATCAGCTGCCCGAAGGGCATCTTGGAGCCCCATGGGGTGCTGGCTGGCTTCTCATCCACCTCCTTGATGTAGGCTGAGAACACTCTGTTGTGGAGAGTGCAGGGGAGGAGGCAGGAGGCGGGTCAGGATGGGTGGATGCAGGAAAGGACAGCCTGGGATGCCCTTGCTGGACCAGGACCCGAGTTCGGATGTGCATCACCCACAGGGAGCCCGGAGATGGCAGCCTGCTCCGGAACCCAGCACGGAGCTGGGTGGACACGGGTCATGGGCGCACACGCATGCACACACACAAACATACACACAGATAAAGCTAGAGGGAACACACCCAACAAAGGGCTGAGAGAGGCAGGCCTGCCCCTGCCAGCAGAGGGCTGGCTCCCCACCTAGGCTCCACTGTCACCTCCGAGGCCTTAGGAATAAGAGGGACGGGGAAGGGCAAAATCTGCCTCCTCTGGCCTCTTTTGATTCTCTGGGAAGCATCTGAAGGTATGTGCGCCCCCTGGAGGCCACAGCAGGAAGACCAGGAGTCCAAGGTAGCCCAATGAGGAGGAGGAGAAGCAGGAGGAGGAGGAGGAGGAGAAGGTGAAGAAGGAGAAGGAGGAAAAGGAGGAGGGAAGAGGAAGGGGGAGCCTGAACCTCAAGACTCCCTAAAACAACTCTGGGCTGCATGCCTTTAATCCCAGCTCTGGGAGGTAGAGGGATCTCTGTGAGTTCAAGGCCAGCCAGGACTACAAAGCAACTCATATAAAACCCTGTCTTCAAAACCAAACCAAACCTCTAGTTCCCTACGTCCAACTTCCAAATGACAGTGGCAGCTGAAGGGCTAGAGGGTGAGGGGTGTCTATCGACCTGTCCAGACAGTCCAGTCCTGTCTTATTTGTTGGGAGAGCCAGATGACCCTGGGGAAGTAACGGACCACAAACTCCTGAGCACAGAACCTGGAGACCACCTTAGCTCCACCTTCACTACCCAGCTTTTTCTTCACGGTGCTGAGGACTGAACCCTGGCATTTTGCTGCAGGCTTGGCCAATGCTCTGCCACTGAGCCACACTGCCTGTTTTCTTTCTTTCATTTAGTTATTAAGCCTGAATATAACGACAGGGCTGGTTTTCTGGAAAACTTTCACACGGGCCAGTGGGTCCCAACCTTCCTTGAGTTGTGGTGCCCCACCCCGGAAAACTATTCTCCTTGTTGCTCTGTAACTGCAAGTTTGCTACTGATATAAAGTGTAACGTAAGTTCGTTCTGATGGTCTTGGGTGGCCCTCGTGAAAGGGTCATTTCACCCACGGAGGAGTCATACTCCTCAGGTTGGGAAACCCTGATACACAGTCAACAAAAAACAGTGAATTCTTTGCTTTTCCTTTCGCTAAGGGGAAAGGGCCCTGTTGAAGGACAAAGGTTTTAAAGAGCAACCCATGGCATGATTCTTAAAGCTCTAGCAGGGTGGCGAGTCTCCTCTAGCAGAGGGCTAAAGACAGAGGGAACACTGTCTGTACACCCTTAGGGTCATGTGGCTAAAGTCAGGTTCTATGTCATCTGCAGTCTGTGGTCTAGGAAACAAAATTTGAACCTGAAATCATCCAAGAAAGAAGATGGCGGGCATGAAGTTGCAGACTTGTAATTCCAGGACAAGGAGCTGATGGAGGATGTGAGCTCCAGACCAACCTGGGCTTCTTGCTTCCAGCTTCTTGTCCCATCAAAATCCAGAGAAGTAGACTGAAGAGATGGCTCAGTGGTTAAGACACTCGCTGTTATTGAAAAGAACTGGGTTGGGCTCCCAGCACCTGTATCAGGTGGCTCACAACCACCTCTAGCTCTTGGGCATCTCTTAACTCTTTCTGGCCTTTGCCAGGCATGCATACCCACATGCACACAGATAAACAAAATAAATCGACTTAAAAACTGAGGACAGACTGAGAGAGAGATGGACAGGTGGAAACAGCATGAGCTCACCCAGCACTTGAGACTACCGATTCTGCCTGAAACCCCTCATTGTGCCAGCCAGGCTGCTGTGCCCAGTGACCTGCTGCAGCTCCTGCTAACCCTCCAGCCAGGTCCATCGTATCTTCCGCCACTTGCTCTGCTCATCACTGTGCACCAATTCACTGTTCTTTTTGTTTGTTTGTTTGTTTTTCTCTTTCTTGAGACAGGGTCTCACATAGCCTGCCCTCAATCTCAGTCTGTAACTGAGGGGGACCACGAGCCTCTCATCTTTGCTCCACATGCAGTGCTTGCTGTACCTGCTGGCCTTCTGCAGCGCTGGGGAATGGAAACCAGCTCGGCAAGTTCTCTACCTGCTGAGCCACATGCCAGCACCAGCTCCTTTTCTAGACCAGGAAGTTCCTTTATCACCGAGCCGCTCACAGGGTACTGCACTTTGCAAATAAAGGAGCCCAATGGGCACTTGTCCATGCTAACAGGCAGTGCCCACTTATCCTTACCTGCATTTGAAGTCACAGGACCCTGCAGCCAGCAAAATGTTGTTGGGGTGCCAGTCCAAGCTGAGGACCGTGGAGCGAATAGGCTTCTTAATGTGCTTGCTCACCCACCTGAGGAAGGAGAAAACCTAGTTTACACTGTCCTCACAGGCAAAAACAACAGCATTTTCCAAGCCACCCCATAAACCTCCTTCAAATAAAACTGAACTGTATGTTTATAAACACCATTTAAATTCTGAAATCCACAGGAAATGTCAGCTACATTTACTGTGGTAAGTTCTCTTTGCAGAATCACTTAATGATCTAAGGCTGTCCTCTGACTTATGCCTGAGTAATTTTATGGGCTCCCTACAGTGCACAGCTGCTCCTGCTGAAGGCTGCCTTGCCCTCTGTCAGGGAAGAGTTTCCTAAACACAGTTCAAGCTGGCCTCCAACTTGCTTTGAACCACACACTGATCTCAAAGTCAAGCTAGAATTACAGGCCTGTGCACCACACTGGCCTGAGGGGCTGATGTAGAGCCCACGTTCAGGATCTACATCCGTGACCACAGTAAGGTCCAGTCCACCTACGACCTCTCAGCGAACACACACAGTCAACTGCTCCAAGGCAGTCAGGAGGAAATGCTTCCTACATGAATTACGAAAAGTCGGGGGCTGGAAAGGGAAGGATAGAGAGGAAGGGATGAAGGAGGAAGTGGAGGGAGGAAAGAAGGAAAGGGAGATTAGCATTGCTCACCAGTCGTTTTCAGACTCAAAGTAACAGACGGAGATGAGGCGGGCTCCGCTCCCCACAGCGAACTTGTTCTCCAGTGGGGACCACTTCACAAAAGTGGCCGCGCGGTTGATCCTCAGGATGACCAGGGTGGGCTTCCAGATGCCATCTTTCAGACTCCACACGTAGGCATTGCGGTCTGCCCCGCAAGTGACGATGCGGTCGCTCTTAGGAGCCCAGTCAATACCTGCAGAGTGACACGAGTCACCTGCTGCCTGTGCCTGGCCAATTACAAGGGACCAGGCTGTTGGCAGGTGAGGGCTCGGCACGGGGTGTCCAAGCTGATAGTGGTTTCCTCCCACCCATCTCCTTTACGTGGTTATCACCCCACACAAAACCAAGGCCCCTTCCCTCCCCAGCATCTGGGAGGACTCAGGACCCTCGCAAAGCCAGGCAGAACAGAACTGGGGCGCTAATTTACTCTAGATCCTTCTGCTTCTACCTCCTAGTACTGGGATTATAGACCCCATCATGCCTAATCCACACACTTTGGCTTTTCAAGACAGACTTTCTCTTATAATAGTACTGTCTGTTATAGAACTCACTTTGAGGACCAAGCTGGCCTTGAACTCAGAGATCTACCTGTCTCTGCCTCCTGAGTGCTGGGCCTAATGGTGTGCACCATACACCTTTTTTTAAAATAATCATGTAAGATTTCTATAATAAAATAGTTTTGGTCTCCTTTGTTTTTGTCCAAAACTGTCATCAAGTGTCTTTCTTGATTATTCTCCAGCTTTAATTGTTGAGGGTGGATCTCACTGGATTCAAAGCTCGTCAGGCCCTGCTAGTCTAGCTACCTAGCTTGAGCTGGGGATCCCTGACTGCTCCTTCAGAGAGCTAAGATCTGGGAAGCAGCCTGCCCAGCATTTATGTGGGTCCCAGAGGTCTCAATTCCAGCCCTCACACTTACACAGACAAGGGCTTATACACACTAAGTGGTCTCTCGGGCCACTTTTAAAAAATGATTATGATGATGACTAGTATTAGTCTTTTAATAGCTCTGGATGTCCTGGAACTTACTATGTAGATGAGGCTGGTCTCTAACTCAGGGAGTTCCTACTGCCTCTGCCTCCTGAGAGCTGGGATTAAAGGCATGTATTACCATGCCCGGCTTTAGAAAAATACGTTTAAGTAGCTGAGAACCAGGCAGTGGTCCACATCTTTAATCCTAGCACTTAGGAGGCTGAGGTGGGGGATCTCTGTGAGTTCCAGGCCTGATCTACAGAGTGAGTGCTAAGACAGCCATGGTTACACAGAGAGACCTTGTTTCAAAACATGAAAAGAAAGAGAAAGAAAGGAAGAAAAGAAGGAAGGGGGAGAGATAGAGAAAGGAAGAAGAGAAAGGAAGAGAGAAAACTCAGTAAATGCTATGGCCTGAACTGGGAAGGTGCATTTAACTTGACCAGGCTCTGTACTTATGCATTTGGAAGCATCACACTGAGCCGCATTACCTGTGATGTGTCCATTATGCTCCTTCAGCTCATGAGCTTTTGTCCACTGACTCCCATTCTTCTTGTAGATGTGCACTTCATGATTATTGGGGCTAAGGGCGATCTCTGGAGGAAGAAGGCAGCATGACTGTTAGCCCATGGCTATCCCTTGTTAGTCTCTGCAGCACTGAGGAGGGAGGCCAGAGAGATGAGACTGCAAGGGAGGCTCGCTGCAGCCCCATTCCCACACAGAAGCAGCAGCAGGGCACACTTACGGGTGCGATCCCTGTTCCAGGCGTGGCAGGTGATCGGCTCCAGCAGAAACTGATGCAGAGACATGGTTCTGATGGCCCTCGAAGGTCAGCCGGCTGTGATGAGCAACAGGAAAGGAAACGCCTCAGATGTCATGCAATCGGTGTCACCAACCTATGTGGGGATGAGCGCAGCCCTCATCTCCCATTAGATCAAGACTCCATCTCAGTGCAAAAATTAATCATGTAACCAGGACTGGCGCAGTCACCACCAGTGTGGAATTTATTCTCAAGGGTCAACCATGAACTCTACAATCACAGGTTAGGGGACAGCACATGGCAACCTGAAAGCAAGGACTGAATTTGTCATCCACACTTTTAAGAACAAAATAGATCATCATGGCAGAAGGCACTGGGGCTGTAGCAGAATGTGGCAGGCCCTGGGTTCAGTGCCCACTGCAGAAAGAAGGAAGAAGAATGGGGTCTGAAGAGATGGCTCAGCAGTTAGCAGTGCACACTGTTCTTTAAAGGACCTGAGTTAGGCCACAATGAGTGACTCACAACCACCTCTAACTCCAGGTCTAGGGGATCCAGTGTCCTCTTCACCTGCACTCATAGGACACAGCCCAGAGACACACAAATACAAAGAATTTTAAAATAAAAACAAATCTGAGCAAGTGTGTGGCACACACCCTTAGTCCCAGCACTCAAGAGAAAGAGGCAAGAGGAACTCTGGGAGTTTAAAGCCAGCCTGATCTACATAGTGAATTCCATGCTCGCCTGGGCTATGGAATGAGACTCTTCCTTAAAAGAAAGTCAATCAATAGGTCAGTTAGTCAGTCTAACAGGAAGCTACAGAACCATCCTGGATATACCTTAGAAGATGATCAACCAAGCTATGAAGCACACCTGCAGAACACATTTACTATAAAGCCATTCAAGGTCTGGACCTCACTTTTAGTTTACTGGAGATAAAGGGAAAGGACCCTGCAAAACAAAGTCAAACCAATGCAGGCCTTCAGATGTATTCAGCAGTTAAAGTGCCTGCTGTAAAAGCCAGATGGCCTGAGCTAACCCCCAATCCCCAGGAATACTGGGGACAGAAGGAGATGCCTCTGTGGTCCCACTGACCCTTCAGGGAGACAGCAGGTGGAGACAGGAGAGCTTGCAGCGGGTAAACTGGCCAGCCAAAGGTGACACGGTGGCATGCAACAGAAGGGTCTGTGGCAAACATGGTGGAAGGTGAGTACTGACACCTAAGGCTGTCCTTCAACTTCTGGGCACGCTGTGGCATGTTCCCATGCATGCACATCACAAGCACACACTCACAGTTCACATGCCTGTGCTGATTATAATTGGTATGTTTAAATATAGCCATAAAAGACACGTGCTGAGAAACAAATTTGAATTTGAACTCGATTATTATATAACAGCATGAAATTATCTTCACTTCCTATTTATGATAATGGAGTTGCCCTCGGCAGGAACAAGTCTTGGCGGTGACAGATTGATGGATGATGTGTTTCGGATGAAATGTCCTTTCTTCTCACTTTGTAGCCTTGGCTGCCTGGAACTCACTATAGACCAGGCTGGCCTCACAGAGATCCTTCTGGCCCTGTCTGCTAAATGCTGTGATTACTGTCTTTTCATGTGAGATAGGGTCTTACTATGTAGCCCAGGCTGGCTTCCAATTAATAAAAGAGGTGAAGAGCAGGATTACTTCCACAGCTGTTGTACTAGTCAATTTCTATAACTGAACATACATTTAGGCATGGCTTTCTATAGTCATTGGGCTATTTTAAGCCTCACTTTTGTACCAAGCAAAATAAACCTTCATTCACATGCTGACAACTTTAATCCCTGAACTGCAGGTGATATTTAAGTGATGTTTGGAAATCTTAACAAGCTCAAGAGGAGAGAGAAAGGGAAACACCAAAGGTTGTTCTGGGCCCTTGGGAGACAGAAGGATCTCTCTGAGTTCCAGGTCAACCAGGACTACACAGTAAGACCCTGTCTCAGACAAAACAAGCAAAAACCAGGCTTCCATTGTGCCTGCCCAGCACTGAGGGATGAAAAGGACTAAAGGAACAGGGTGACTTGCTGAGCTCCCACTCTCTTCAGCTTTCACTTTTCCTCTTTCTGTGGTGCTGGTGAACCAACCTATTGTACACACCAGGCAAGTGCTCCACCAACTCAACCACATTCCCAGCCTTCATGGGTGGTCATTTCAGTGTCTTGGTAAAACGGGCTCTGGAGACAAGATGCCTGAAGTTTGAATCTTGGCCTTGACACACACATAAAGAGATGCTGGGACAGTCTTTCCTCATTCCACCTGTAAAGTAGGTCTCCAAGCATGGCAGATCAACACCAGCCACAACTGATCCCAGTTACTCAGTTCTCTGGTTGTCTGGGTTGTAAGCCTAGCCTCTACTACCAGCTTAGTAAATTAGTTCTCTGTGATTCATTTGATTTCTCATTGCTCTTATTACCCAACCCAGCAGTACTAGATGCTCCAACAAGGGTTCATTCGAAATTCCAGCTTCACTGGACCATTCTCCACTTCTGGGGAGAAACTCTTTTGACTTAGGAGTTAGCATTAGGAATGGCTATTATATTATTATTATATCTTTAATTTTACATATTTATTACAATTTATTCACTTTGTATCCCCGCTGCAGCCCCAGGAATGGCTCTTAATTTATTCTGATATTATTTGAACAGCTACTCTGGGTCAGGAATTAATGTCAGCAACTCGAACTCACATGGAACTAACGGAAAAAAGCGGACCAACCCGGAGAAACTGAGACACCGAAGAAACCAACCTTCCCCTGGTCATCTGGCAAAGTGAGAGGGAGTCAGATGGGCACTAAGGGGCTCCTACATCAAGGACTCTACGCTGATGAACAGGGGCGTAGAGAAGGCAGGGGAGGGACTAGAATAGAGCAAAGGAATCTTAAGGTGACTGGAGAAAGATGGCTTTTCTCTTGATAGAGAAGGGATCGCAGGATGCTCTAGGCAGCCGAGCCACGCGAGCAGACGCTCGGGGTCGGGGTCGGGGTCGGGTGTGATGGGGGTCGGGTTGATGGGGTGTAGGTGGGGTGGGGACCCGGATGCAGCAGATTCACCGCGAAGTACAGACATCTGGGCCCCTCCGTCCGCGACCAGCGCAGCAGTGCCCCGGCCCCGCCGACCCCGCTCCCCCACAGAAAACACGACTGACCGAGGCGACCAGAGCGGACGCCAGGCCCTGCGGCTCCTTACCCGGGTCTGGGAGGTCAGGAGGCCGGAGCGGGCGATTCGCGGACTCTGGTCAGTCGACGCGAACAGGCTCCGGCGAGCGCAGATGGAGGACGGAAGCCGAGAGGGATGGCCGTGAAGGGTCCCGGAAGTGCCCAGGACGCCTGCGCGGGCTGGGGCGCGCAGGCGCAGTACGCAGTGTTTACTGGGGGCTGAATAAAATGCTCCAGAGCGGCAGCAGCAAGTCTGCTTGTGGAACTGGGTCGGAGTTCTACTCAATTCCTTAAGGATGAAAAATATATACATGCACATATATACAAATATACATGCATATACATACATATCTACATACATATTTACATACATATATGTACACATACATCTATACATATATAGAATTATACTCACATATATACACATACATATATACATACATTTATACAATTACACATATATACATACATGCATGCATATAAATATATACATACCTATATGCATACATACATATATATACATTTTTACTTACATATATACACATATTGATGCATACATATATACAATTATACTTACATATATATATACAAACATACATATATACATTTATACATAAATATATACATACATATATACATAATACACATATACATATAAATATATACATATATACATATATACAGACATACACATATATATACAATTACAAATATATACATATATATACATGCATACATATACACATATGTACAATTATACATACACATATCAATATATACACAAATGTATACATATATACAGTTATAGATACATGTATACATACATATATACATATATAATATACACATATACATATATACATACATTTACATACATGCACACATATATGCATATGTACTTATATACAAACATGAGTATATACATAAATATATACATACATATACACATAATATATATATACATATGAATATTGGGGACATTCAGCACCCTACCTACAGCACTGATCCCTAGAATTGCAAAAGGCGAGGGCTGGGGAGATGGCCCAGTGCTGAAGACGTACCTAAGGTTAGCGCCCAGCACCCATTTCAGGCAGCTGAGGAACTCCTGTAGTTCCAGCCCTCGGGGATCTGTCACCCTCTTCTGGTCACCATGGGCACTGTTCCCCCTTTTGCCTGTGATCCCAGAGCTCCAGAGCTCCGGAGGCAGAGACAGGTGGATCTCTGTGAGTTTGAGTCCAGCCTGCTCTACAGAGCGAGTCCAGGACAGCCAGGGCCACATAGAGAAAACTTGTCTCGAAAAACAAAAACAAAAACAAACAAAAAAATCATCTCTTTGAGGGCTCTATGTCATCCCAGAAGCAAAGAGAGCATCAGATGCCAGTGTAGATGGTTGTGAGCCACCATGCAGGTGCTGGGAATCAAACTCAAGACCTCTGGAAGAGCAGCTGATATTCCTAACCACTGAGCCATCTATGCAGCCTCTGAGAGCTTATCTCTTACACTGTTCAGAATACCCTGCCTCAGGAATACAGCCACCCACAAGGGCCTGAGACTTCCTCCATCAATTAACAATCACCATTCCTGAATTTTGGTAGCCTGATACTTACTAATTGACCACCTTCACACCTAAAGGACAAGCTTTGACAGATAAGCATGGCTGGATTCCTTGGCGTCTGACTGGCTTTCCTTTCCTTGGCTGGCTGGGAGCTGCAGCTCACCGCCCTGGCTAGTGTCACAAGGAGGGTCGTCCGCCACCTCCTTTGTGACTAGACTGTAAGTGTTCCTTCCACCACATGTGTGCACTTTGATCTTTACTATATACACGATAATGTCTCTGTATCTCTCTCCGTCTGTCTCTCTCACTTTTTTAAAATTTTTTATTTAATTTTTCTTTATTAATTACACTTTCTCTCACTTTTTTTTTTAAAGACATGGTTTCTCTGTGTAGCCCTGGCTGTCCTGGAACCCCTCTGTAGACCAGGCTGGCCTCAAACTTGGACATCCACCTGCATTTGTTTTCAAGGTGTGTGGCCCCACTGCCAGGCTCTGTGTCCTTCTCAAAGTTTCATTCAGAAAGTTATTCTCAAAGACCCTTTGTGGTTCTTCAGATTGTTCACTAAAGGAACACATAGTCTTGCTGTACAGATCTCTTTTGGAGGAAACTAATGGTGGCCAGTGCCTTGACCACGTGGCATCACCTTCTTCTAAAACCAATTTTAATTGTCACCTTGACACATAGGAGGCTCATCTGAGAGGAAAGCTTCCACTGGGACTGAGGAATTGTCTAGATTTGATTGGCCTTAGGACATACCTGTGGGAAATTGTCTCAGTTAATGACTGATTCAGGAGTACCAAGCCCATTTCTGGTAGCACTATTTCAACTCTGGTAAACCTGGGTAGTATAAGAAGATTAGTTAAGTGTGAGACTGTGAACAAGCAAATCAGAGAGCAAGCCAGCAAGCAGGGTTGTTCTTCTGTGGGTCCTGTCATGACCTCCCTCATCAATGGATTGTGACCTGAAAGTGTTAAATCAAATCCTTTTCTCTGCAAATTGCTTCTAGGTAGAAAGTTTTATCCTCGCAGCAACAAAGTGAAACCAGAACAGCACCCACCTCTGTGAAGAACTGACGAGGAGTATCAGTTTCATAAAAGATCCTTAGGCCCAGATTTATTAGTTCAATTGGTCTCTTTGTGGAGCTCCAGACCTGTACAGGTCTTTCTATCTCCCCCTTCTTTCATAAGATTCCCTGTACTCTGCTCAAAGTTTGGCTATGAGTCTCAGCATCTGCTTTGATACCCTGCAGGGTAGAGTCTTTCAGAGGCTCTCTATGGTAGGCTCCTGTCTTTTTCCTTATTTTCACCTTCTTCCAATGTCCATATTCTTTGCTTTTCTGAATGAAGACTGAACATCTTACCCAGGGTCCTCCTTCTTGCTTAGCTTCTTTAGGTGTACAGATTTTAGTATGATTATCCTATATTATATGTCTACTATCCACTTACAAGTGAGTATATACCCTGTGTGTCTTTCTGCTTCTGAGATAGCTCAATCAGGATGATCTTTTCTAGTTCCCACCTATTGCCTGCAAATTTTATGATTTCCTTGTTTTTAATTGCTGAGTAGTATTCCATTGTGTAAATGTACCACAATTTCTGTATCCATTCCTCCATTGAGGGACATCTAGGTTGTTTCCAGATTTTGTCTCTGACATGAACTCAGTGGCTGGCTCTTTGATCGCCTCCTTCTGAGGGGGGGGGGAGCAGCCTGACCAGGCCATAGAGGAAGACTATGAAAGACAGTCCTGATGAGACCTGATAGGTTAGGGTCAGATGGAAGGGGAGGACGTCCTTTACTATCAGTGGCCTGGGGAAGGGGAATGGGAGGAGATGAGGTAGTGAGGGAGTGATTGGGAGGGGACGAGGGTGGATCTACAGCTGGGATACAAAGTGAATAAATTGTAGTAAATAAAAAATTATATTAAAAAGGAAATGATAGTAGTTGGTGGATTTTTCCATTATGAAAAACTATATGCAATAAAATATAATTTACACACACACACACACACACACACAGAGAGAGAGAGAGAGAGAGAGAGAGAGAGAGAACTAATGAATAAGGGCAATCTGTTCTCCAGCTGATGTTGGAGGTTACTGAAAGCTACTTTCTGTTCTTTATTACTTTATTTCCCTGTAGCTAAACAATGCTCTCCCAAGAGGGCAATTCTGCCTTCCATTTTCCTGGAGTTTACCTCCCAAGAATGGTCTGTCGTTCAAGGAAGGAACTTTAAGCTGCACGAAGATGGAGGGCAGGAGGTGAGGAAATGGGCAGTCAATACAGTCCCACTGAGTCCCAAAATACCCCCACTGATATCCACTTAGATCAGCACTGCCTCCTAAAATTCTCCCAACAGACACAGTGCATGGAGAAATGAAATGTTTCAGTTGATCAAATGCTTAGCAACCATGAGAAGGTCTGAGTTCCACCCTTACCACTGCTTGAACTGGGGTGTGATTCTGCACACCTGGAATCCCAGTACCCCAGATGTAGAGGCAAGAGGATCAGAAGATCAAGGTAATTTTAGATATATGTGATTTTTAAAGACAATACAGATGGGATACCCTGTCACACAAATACACAAAATCAACTTTTAGCCTCTCTCCTCTCTCTCTCTCTCTCTCTCTGTGTGTGTTTGTGTATGTACAGATGAATGTAGGTGCTCACAGAGGCCAGAAGAGTATGTCAGATCCCCTGGATCTGGAGATACAGATAGTTGTGAATAGTCCAACATGGATGGTGGGAACTAAATTCAGTTCCCCTGGCAGAGCAGCAACTGCTCTTAACTGCTGAGCCATCCTTCCAGTCCTGATTTTTATCTTCTAATTTATGACATTCATTTTCCTGTGCAGTTTGTGAAAACATACTCCAGTCAAAACAGGCAACATGGAAGGGAACACTCGTCACAGATCGTAGAAGAAAACATTTATGTCTCCAGCAGAATCTTATATCTTAACTTTGGTGTTCAGACTTTCTATTGGGTGTGTATCATGTGTGTGTAGCATCTTAGTTACTCTTCTACTTCTTTGATTGAAGAGTTTAAGTTAGCTTGGGTGACTCCATTTTGAAATGAGAAGCCATCTTGACTGGGAACTGAACTCAGGTACCAGGAAATATCACAGAATGTGCACTTGGTAGAAAACAAAGTTAACTCTCCTAGCAACAGCCTCCAGGAAATATCACAGAATAAATACTTGGTAGAAAACAGAGACAATCTCCTTGGCAACAATCAATGAGAATCAATTGGGCAAATTCTCCCCAATGTTCCAGATGTAGTTTAGAAGAATGGCAATTGTGATCATGTGCCTCAGTTAGAGGGTCATCTTGCTCTATGACTTTTACCCAATCCTGTAAAGCCAAGGCATGAAACCCCCTGCTTGCTGTCATGGAAACGCACTGCTTGCAGTTTTTCCTTTTAAAAACCCTGTTCACCCAGGGCTCGGGGTCCTACCTCTCTGCTGCTGCATCAGTGAGACTTGGGTCCTGAGTTCAATCGCTCTAGTAGTAAAACTCTCTTGCTCTTACATCGAGTCATCTTCTGGTGGTCTCTGAGGTTCTTGTGATCCTGGCATAACACTCACAGTCTTTCTTAGATCAGAGGTTTTATTCTTTGTGTGTGTGTGTGTGTGTGTGTGTGTGTGTGTGTGTAAAAAAACCACTCAAGAGCACAAATCCACTTTTATTTATTTATTTTTCATTAGTTTAAATCCGGGAAGTGTACAGCATCACACGGATTCTGTGTCCAATGGCCTTCGCAGGAAGGTTTCTTTCGGAATTTGGCACGAACCATGCCACTGTTCCCATGGGCCCGAGGTACTTTTCCCCAGATCACTCTGGTTTTGTTTGGCTTGCCTCCAGGGGTCACTGTATTGTTTTTTGTGCTTATACACATAAGCACATCTCTTGCCTAGGTATTCTGTTTCATCTTGGGCATAAACACCCTCAATTTTAAGAAGAGCTGTATGCTCTCTTTGGTTCCGGAGATCTCGCTTGTAGCCAGCAAAAATGGCTTTGCACCACAGCCTTCAGACATATCTGCTTCTTAGAAGTCCTGTTCCCAGCAGGCCTTCCCAGGCGCCAAGATGGCCGAAAACGAGGTTTTATTCTTATGATTAAGAAATTTTATTTCATTTTTTAGAAAACTGCCTTAGCCTTCCTGTGTGTGTGAGGTTGTGAGAGTCTCTGGAAGTGGATTCACAAGACAGTGGCAGGTGGTGGGGATTGAGCCTAGGTCCACCTGGAGCAGCAGGCACCTTTTTAACCACTGACATCACTCCAGCACTTTGTTATGTAATTACAAAAGAAATAGAGTATTAATCACTGTCAAACAAAATCGGTACAACTCATCTGATAGTGGGATTTTGGGGTTAAGAAAATTCAAGAGACCCGCCTGTCAGGGCCTGCAGGAATGCTAGGATGACAGGCCTGTGCTGCCACACCCAGTCTTTGTATAAATATTTGAAAGAGATTTATTATCTGTCTGACTCCCAATGACGTAATCAAAGGTTCTCCAGCTACCAGGGACAGGACATTTTTTTACTGTAGTAGAAGGAGCAGCGACTGTGTGTGTTGACTTCCGGGACAGGGGGCGGGGCGATGATGTAAAAAAGCTCCTGCCCAATCGTGATCCCAAGGACAGTATGGCAGGGCAAGGAAAGTTACAGACTTCGGAATTAGGGGAAAGGCTGTGTGGCTGTTTGTCTGAGGTCAAAGAGGTTTCCCGCGTCTACTTCCCCGCTCCTCACCAAGCCTCTGGGTGGCAAGCTTAGGAACACATGCATTTGACGTTGGGACCATCACTCGGGGGAATCTGGGATTTGTAGTCGACACCGGGCCACGGTCCAGGCAACAGACAGGAAGAGACACAGGCTCCTGACTACGAACAATCCCAGAATGCATCGCGTCGCGCGTCCTGGACGCCATTTTTGTAGTTCTCAGATACAATCCCAGAAGTCTGTGCTCCAAAGCCATATTTGTAGTTCTCGTGCAGGTGGGTCTCTGCTGCAAAGCATCTTTGGGACTGTTGGAACTTCCGTGACCAGAGAGCTCTCTGAAACGGAGGGATGAAGGTGTGTTTATGACTAGAAGCTTTATGTTTATATCCCCGTGGCGGGGGCCAGGAAGGTGGCGGGGCGGCCTCCGAGCCTCCGAGTCCGGAAGTTTCTGCTCTCTGCGGGGCGGATCCGGAAGCGAAGCCCGAAGGGGCGGGACTTGAGCTAGAGGCACGCAGCTACTCACGCAGGTTTTCCCAGGTCAGAAATCTTATCCCAAGCAGTTGTTATGAACCCATAGTCCTGCTCATACGCGGGGGGAGAGGGAGGTTTTGGGGTTCCCCGCCTCCCTCCCCTGTCCACCGCCCCCGTTCGTCTGTCTGCCTGGAGTCTTTGAACGGCTCGGGCGTGGGGCAGAACCGCAGGCAGGGGGATGGCACACTCCTCCGCCCCGCGTGCATCCTGGGGGAGATGGGTGCACCCGCCCTGGGTGCACGATCTTGTATAGGTTGTTGTGGCGCCCTCTGTTGGTCCGCGGGTGCACGAGCAGGCCGGACACTGTAAATAATGTTTAGGGGGTTGGGGGTTGAGGAGGTAAGGTGTTCTGTGCTTAGTTGTTAGGGTGCTGGAGACTCAGTACAGAGGATCTGGCCACCTCTGCTGGTCTGAAGGCATACATACATGGACAAAGAAAAAGTAAGAGGTGGAGGAGGAAGAAGAGGAAAGAAAGAAAAGAAAAGCAATGGAAGAAAGAAAGAAATCTGTGTGGTTTTTACAGAAAAACAGCCAGCTAATTGAAACTTGGGTACTGTTTGGTGTTGATTTGCTGAATTTGAACCAACATACACAGGTAAATGTGCAGGTATTCTGTAGTGATATAAGTAAATGAAGTTTTTCCACATGGTAAATAAAATATTTTCAACCACAAGGAAAGTGTGAAACATGGCAAACCAACACATTTTATGTAGAGTCCGTATCAAATAGGAATGATTTGAACTTTTTCGGAGGAAGTGTCTCATATTCAAAGACAAGCTCTATCCCTGGCTTAATGAACTTTCTCCAGTCTCCTACACCCTCCCAGTACCCAGGAGATTTTTACTTCTATAAATTCTGGATTGACAGTTTTGATTGCTCACTTCCTGCTTTGCTATGTGAAAATCATGACCCATACCCAATTTCTTTAGAGATTAAACCAGAAGAAAACAATGTGACCGTTTCTGAGCCCAGCTATTCCATATGGAATGCAGTGTTTGTCGTGGCCCATGCCCTCCATAAAACGCTGTTGAGCAAAATTGAAATGGGATCTAAAGAAGACAAAAACATGGACTGGCTTCTACCATGCCAGGTAAGCCTCGCTCATAAGCAAGGGAAGCATCAGGATCTTATAGTTCAAAGTACAAATTAAAATGGAAAAAGGTTCTGTCAAAATGCATGTGTATATATCTGTATTTTACATGATTTGGGGACTGAAAGCACTCATTTGAAAACATTAAATTTGAATGTCTTTCAACGAACGTTTTTCCTAGTGTGAGATGAAATTCTGTAAGATATATGTGTAAATAGTGTAAAAATGTAGCAAGTTCAACAACCAACATTTTTATAATTTCATGGAATATGTCCAATGCCATAGGTATAGACTAGGGCATCATATCCAAGGCAACCAGTTCACCTAAAATACAATCTGTATTTAGGACAAAAGACCATAAGAAGATCCTTTTGTGGACAATAAATAGCCTGTCCTAGAGTCAGCAGTAACTGAAACATAATTGCTTTCACAGACTTTTTATTATTAATAAAGTATGATGAAGGAGAAACCAGAACTGTGCTCCCATTATTGAATTTTAGAACACAGACAGTGCTCATGAGTCTGGGCCTTATCTCAACGTGTTAGTGATAAATGTGATGTGTGGGTTTTAAATCAATAAGATATAAAATAGGACTCATTTACACTATGAGCCTTGGATATCACCTTCAAATAGGTTGTCATGAAGAAGATTGTTGAGCAAGTCAATTGAACTTTTCATTCAGTCAACGTTAGGTAAATAAAAGATGAAATGTGAATGTTTGTATACTATATAATTTAGTATTATGGGAATCAGTAATATTTGACATTGATATTGACATAGTCTGTAATCATGGCTTCCAGTCCTAAAATGTTAGGTAAGTGAGTATGTCTCTTGTACAGAAAACTGAGTACCTATATAGAAGTTTTTTATAATACGAGTTATTAATTAGTTAACACAATATTAGTTTGTGTTATTAATTTTCAGTAGTTGATTTTTTTTTTGTAATCAAGATAATACTGGTGGCTGCACAAAAATGAAGTGTTTCTTCCTTTCCCCTTTTATGAAATACTTTGAGGAGTATTGCAGTGAGTTGTTTGAGATCTTGTAGAATTCATGCTGAATCTCTAGACCTAAGCTTGCTTTATTTTATTTTATTTTTCTTTTAATTGAGAGATTTTAAAATTATCATTTCTATCTTGGTTGTTATGTATCTGTTTTGATAATTCATCTTGATTTAATGTTGTTAGATTTTATACATCTAAAAGTCTACCCATTTATTTTTTTACATTTAAATCCTTAGTTGAATGAAGACTTTTAAAATATGAACCTATGATTCTCTGCTTTCCTCAGAGCATGTTATAGTGTCTGTTAGATCAGGATTGATACAGTTGACATGGACTTAAAAGAGAACAGACAGGCATTTCCAAAAGCAGGATTTTTCTCTCAGACAAAACTGACATGTTAGTCTTTTGAGGGGGGAAGTGCAGATTCTGCGCTGTAGTACCAGGGGCTGGAAGTCTTAAGTAGCTTGATGGGGAGGACACACCGTGGGGGTTCAGTGTATAAATTTTTGACTTTGGTCCTGCTTTCTGTAGGTGTGTGGGTTTATTTCTGTGTATTTGATTCAATCCATTGACCCACAAGTCTGTTTCTCTGCCAGTACTATGTCGTTATTATTACTATTTCTCTATAGTTTAGCTTTAGATCAGGGATGTAGATAACTTCAGAAGTTCTTTATTGTACTGGGTTGTTTTAACTATTCTTGTTTTTTTTTTTTAAATATTATATTGAGAATTGTTCTTTCAAGGTCTGCAAGGAATTGTATTGATATTTTGATGGGAATTGCATTAATCTCTAGATTTCTTTTGGTAGGATGACCATTTTGCTGTTCTTCTTACTGATCCATAAACATGGAAAATCTTTCCATCTTCTGATATCTTTTTCAATTTCTTTCTTCAGAGACTTGAGGTTTTTCATACAGATCTTTCCCTTGCTTGGTAAGAGTTAAACCGACATACTTTATGTTATTTGTGACTATTGGAAAGTTGTTTCCTCAATTTCTTTTTTTATTAGATTGTTTTAACTTTATGCTGTAAATTGAACATACCCAACACTATTTTGTCTGAAAATGAATTGTTTTAATAATGAGGTTTACAGTTTCATGAGAGGGTAAAAGTTACTCTATAATCATTCGTTTAGCAACAAGAGTGGGTGAAACTGAAAATGGCATGAAACAATGTACAGCTTCATAGAAATAAGACTTTAGTATAAAGTTTAGTGAAGCAGTGCAGCTTGTTATGGTCACGTAAAAGACAGCACACTAAGTATGACTTAATTGAGAAAACAAAAAGTGAAATGAACTGAGCAATGAATCTGAACATGACACTGGGATCTTTTTGAACATGCAAAATAAAATCTGATATCACTAGGTTGGGATTTTCCACAGACACTGACTAAAATTAAAACCATCTTGTGTTGTTATAGTTCATGTAAAATTGCGCATATTTTCTACTTGTATTCTGAGACATTTTGATGGAATACTTACACACAGCCTATTCAGAGCTGACAGATAAACTGACAGAATTGCTGTGGATCTCCACAACCTTCTCAGTAGATTTTCCATGCACTTGAAGTTACTCATGAGAAGTATCAGAATTATCATACCATTGCACTTGTACCCATGGTGGCCTAAATATGAAAGTAACCTCAATGCTTGTTTGTTGTGGACAAGCTGGGTGCCTAAGGAGGACATTGTGCTAAAAGAATAAAGACAATAGTAATAATTAAAGGATTGTACACTTAGAAAGAATCTCATAGTCATGCTGTATTGGGCATGAAACAGCTTATAATTACTTTTTTTTTTTTAGACAGGGTTTCTCTTTGTATTCTTGACTCTACTGGATCTGCTGTGTAGACCAGGCTAGCCTGGAACTCACAGAGATCCGACTGGAAGGAGTAGGCAAACTGATTCTTAGTCTCAGGAAGGAACTTAATAAGAAACATGCTTGCAACTGTGGTCCAAGAATGGCAGGGTCCATCCCACCTTAGAAGTCAAACTTGGCAGGGACACTTATGTTGGGTTGGTTCTTCAAGAAAGATACAAATTTTAAGGTCATGGATCCTTCCTCTGTGCTTTCATTTCAGCACTGTTTCATTCATCTATGTCTGGCAGAGTCAGAGCCCCACTGAGAATACTGTGAGAGTGCATTTCATGAAGCTGTGAGGATAAAGACTGAGTTTCATGTTGTGACCACAAGATGTTGAGATACTAAGCAATGAGACACCTGCCATGGAGAGATGCATGTAGGTAGTGGAAGTAACCAAATGTGGAGATGTATGAGAAGTTGCAGGTATAGGGCCACCTAAGCCCTGTGAAACTTAAGACACGTGTCTGAGATCAGCGACAGGATTTGGTGTTTGCCCTACTGGTTTACCTGCCTTGTTCCAGTGTTCGCTCACTATGTACACATTGCTGGCTATTGGAATTAGACAGTATATTCTGTGCCATTCTAAGTTGTAAAGATAAAACTTGCTTTCTGATTTTACAAGATGCAGCAATGAAGGGATTATCTAGTGACAAAACAGACCTTGAACACTTGTGCAGTATCTGAGCTGTTTCAGACTGAGAATCATTGAAATAAGACTAAATGCATTTTTTATCATGGGTTCACATGAGCCTATAGTGAACAGAGTTAGAATGTAGTTGATCAGATAAAAAAGCTCCCTGATAAAATGATGCCTTTGAATACTTGTCTGTTTTTTGTGACTTTCGTTGTGGAGCTTTTAGAACCTTTTCTAGGTTCTTTATTGGGTATACAGACTCAACCCATTTCTTATTCTTTGTGCCTATTGTGTTGTTGAAACTAGTCAGTCACATTCCTTCTTATGCTGCCATGCCTACACACTTACAGACTCTTATCACTAAATCACATAAGATACAGTAGAAATACTTCTTATTCAGTGCTAAGCTAGTTTGCTTTCCTGTTGTTTTTGTTTTTAGTTTTATTGTTTTGCTTTTGTTTGTGAAGACAAAGTTTCTCTGTGTAGATCTGCCTGTCCTAAATGTAGATAAGTAGATCAGACAGGATCTGAACATATCTCACAATATCGTTTGATGTTCTATGGATGTGTATATATTATGTGGTGTTCCACAAGTCTTCATGTTCTCATTAGGTAACCATTTGGCACTTCATCTTGAAGTACTTCCTTCTATTGGAATTATGTAATGATGCTAGATAATGTAAAAGCAATGAAATTTATTTTAAAAAAAATGTGTGTGTTTGTGCATGTATGTAATTTATTATTAAGGGTTTGTTGACCAGAGCAGATATATAGAGAGAGTGGAAGCAAACTTTGTGGGGTCTAATTTTGCCTGCCATCATATGGTGATCAAACATCATGTTGCTGGGTTTGTACACCGTGGACCTTTCCCACTGAGCCATCTCACTGAGTCTGAAATATCATTGATTGAAACATTACATTATAAAAGATTTTCTTCTTTAAAATTGTAATCATTGTCATCTAAGAATAGAGAAAAATAGGACAATTTGAATAATAAGTCTCATTTGCAAAGAAAGGGATATGTTGCTATATTTTTTATTGTTTTACTTTATTTTATCAGTATGCCATGGGTTCATCAATAGCTGGAACCAGACCACTCAAATGCCAGACTCAGACACATAGTAGTTTATTGAATGTTGAACAAAAACTGACTGGTCAGGACACTGTTTAAATTCAGGAACTAGATTGTGACATCAGTCTTTTTCAAAGGTAGGCCTCTCCTAAGAAAACTCATAACCATATAAACTCACAACCATATAAACAGGTGGGAAGCAAGGGGAGGGTAGCATGACCTCATTTTGCCTAGGTATATACAAGAAGAATCAATTTTGTTTCAAGTGTATTGTGTCTAGGTAGCTAGACAATACATTTTAAGCTGATTAAAATACAGGGTTATTTTGGGATTATTTTGATTGGGATATAGGCTTAGGGACTTTACAGTTCCCCATCATTCCAGGAGAAAGGAACGTAGCAGGGTGTTGTGGTTTTGTTTAAGTAG